AGAATGATTTGAGAAATGTACCAAAGCGACGGAGAAAAACTGTAAGATGCACCTTTGAGCTATTTCAGAAAACTGGTCAATCATTAGTTGATCTATGTAATGCTACACACATTTCCCATCATCTGAGAAAGTTAGGATTCACCTGTGAGCAATTTAAAAATTCAGGACAGATTTAGAAAAAAAGTCTAATGGAAATGTATAGAAATATGCTTGATATATTATGACAACCTGTTCAACCATTTTTCATGTAAAGACTTATGTGATGAACTAATGCCTAAATGTTGTGTGGGGGGTGAGACTATTCAACAGAGACCCATTATAATACATTTTGATCAACATGACATAAGCAATTGATAATGTAGGAAACAGCAGAGAATTGCACAGAATCATTTGCACGGATGTACCAAAGCATTTAGAACTTGTTCAAAGAAATGAGAAACTGATTTTTTTTGATGTGCACAAGTGACACAATGATGTGAAGATTGAACAAGTAGTTTTGAGAATTTCAATTCTGATCGGAGAAATATACCAAAGTGACTGAGAGAAACTGTAAATGAAAAAAATACATATATCAATTTATCAGATCTTGCACATAATACAGTGAAATTACTGAAAGTTGCTTTTTGTGTTTAGTGTTTAATACAGTTTTTTTATTTTTCTACTTCACAGTGTAACTGTTCCAAAAAAAAAAAAAAAAAGTGTTCTGCCACAAAAATATATTGTATATATGGTATAAACCAAAACAGTTCAAGTATTTTTTAACTATTGTGTATGTATATAGGGCAAAGGCAGGGGACACTCTGGACAGGTTGCCAGTTCATTGCAGGGTCACCTTTAGAGACAAACAACCAAGCACACTCACATTCACACCTACGGACAATTTAGAATCACCAATTAAGCTCAACATGTTTTTGGACTTTGGGAGGAAGCCGGAGAACACATGCTGCTTGGGGAGAACATGCAAACTCCACGCAGAAAGAGCCCGGGTGTCCACACCGGGACGCCGATATTTGTGTTTTTTCTGATATATCGGTATCAGTCCGATGAACAAATTTAGCTGATGTGAAAAACCAGTGATTGTCAAACTTTAGTGCCTTCATCTCTACATTTAATATTGTTGCTATTTCACAGATATTTTGTACAGACATGGTCCTGGACTTTAACGTTAAATATGTTAAATAATGTTAAAATATATTTTACTTTTGTTACGTAATAAAGAAGACTATGTGGCCGAAATTGGTCTGGGCTTCTTTTGAATAGCTTTCACGTTCTCACAGTGCTTACTTATACTCATTTTTCAGTGTGAACAAAAATTGAATATCGACATCGGTAATATTGGTTATCGGCGATATCAGAAATCTTAGTATCAGATATCAGTATGGGCCAGAAATTTTGATATCGTGCATCACTAATATACAGGTAAAAACAGCACCCTCCATAATTATTGGCACCCCTGGTTAAGATGTGTTCTTTAGCTTCTAGTAAATTCAGTTTTTTCTAAATAATATAGGACCACAATGAAAAAAAAGAGGAAAATTCAACCTTTTATTCAAGCGCATTTATTCAGTGTGGGGAAAAAAATCCCACATTAAAAAATAATTCTTTCACATCAAATCATGTGTGCCACAATTATTGGCACCCTTGATGTTAATATTTTGTACAACCCCCTTTT